TAATATGATGTCTGACTCTGATTACTCTGGTACGTTAAGGTCTCTTATCATGTCACATAGTCTCTATCTTGTCCCTTCTGGCCCCACACATCATGTTTCACGCCCTGGTTATATTGCTCACACATGGATCAATTTATTTTTCACCAATAGCTCTGATGCCATAAAAGCATATTCAAAATCACCCTCACCGTTCATAGCTGAACATAATCTCACGGAATTGTCACTTAATATTTACAGACCCTCATCATTCATCAAGGAATTTTTTTCTCGTAGTTTCAACAACATCAACCTTGCAGATCTAAACTTGAAACTTCAATCCATTTTTTTAGATGATCAATTTTTGTTCACTGGAAGTTTGAACTCGACAAAAGGCACTTCTCTCTCTCTTGATAATCTCACTTGCAATTTCTCTAGTGCACTTCTGTCAATTTTTGATTCTTTGGCTACACTCCGCTCTATTCGTATTAAATCCATTAAAAAACCCTGGGTCACTACTGATATTCGCCAAATGATAAAGAACAGAGACAATATTTTTATTACGGCTACATCAAACAATATTTGATCCAACTCTAATCGCCTCTTTCAAACGCTCACTATTTTCTCTTCAACTCACCCTCGACTCAAACCAGTGGAATGCAGAATGCAGACTTTCCCCTCGGCTCTAAATTACCCTTTATGCTCTTTTCATGCTCATCATCACTCATCTCTCACCACTTTTATCACTGATACACATTTTGTTAGACAAACGAAATTGTATTTTTACTGAATTATAATCAACTGATATTATTACATATGTATTTAAACTGTATAATTATTTTGTATACATTACTATTATATTTTTTCCTTTGTAATTTACTTGAAGCCATACGTGGTCATACCACATGGCTTAATAAATGCTACTTTTACTTATACTTATACTAGAGTGTTGGGGGTGCTTAAGGCACAAATAGACCTCGGAACGAGGGAAGGCATTTTGTATTTGAAAGCGGTGCCAAACATCGATCAGGACCTTCTTTTGGGGATGGACTTCTGTCAGAACTTTGAGATCGAGGCTAACTTCGGTAAGCGACTATGGCGAGCGAGCGAAGGACCATGGGCTTCATTCGTCGGGGGGAGCGATGAACCTGAGAGAGTGATTTACGCGGAATGCGCCGGTATCGTGGAAGTGGGTGACGATCAGCGTGGCCGAGTGAATAAACTGATCGAGCAAGTATTATCGTCGGCCACCGAAGCGCCAGGGATAACTAAACTAACTGAGCACGTTATTCGCGTGACCGATCGCACACCGATTCGACATCGGTTGAGGCGTATGTCGCCGCGGATGCAGGAAATAGCGACCGAGGAAGTAGAGCGAATGTACAACGAGGGGATAATCGAAAAATCGTCGAGCGATTATAGTAGCGCCCCAGTGATGATAAAGAAACCGGATGGGACTTACCGATTTTGCATCGACTTTCGCGACTTAAATAAGGTGACGACTCGNTTATTAAGAGTTATAAATCGACTGTTCCTATATTTTTTACAAAATTTGCAGATGTACAGTATATCCCCCTTTCGCTAAAGATTGTAAGACTGTCGTTGTATCTGCCAGCATTTATTATTATTTCTATGTATGCTGAATGTTTTACAAGCTTCGTGACAGTGTCGATACCAACGATCCCATTTAATGATTCGACTGGTCTCCTCAAAGATGGAACTTGCAAATTAATTGCTCAAAAAAGAGTAAACCTTTCAAAGTATTTATTGGTAATTTCAAAATTTTAACAGATTATAAAATAGGGGTAAGTGTACCTATCTTCGTGGCACGTACTGAAAATTCCAACTTAAATGCACCATAAAAAATGGTATACTCAAATTTTTTGGAATACTTTTTTTTTCAAATCTTACATAATCTCTTACGGAATATTAAAAAAAATTTTATGAAGCTAAAACTGCAGTAGAATATTTTTAAAACGAATAAAAACGGTATGCTGGTATTACCATGGTTGTGTACCTATTACCGTGTACGTATTACCGCAGATGTCCCAATCACCGTGTCCATATTACCGTGGGTGAAGAAAGTTGTATTTGCGGAATATAAAAAAAATGCAAATTTCATATACATTTTCTACATGACTTATTTATTGTTTTAAAAAAATATTACTTTTTTTTGTACTTGCTTATTCATTTAGTAGGAATCTTATACATTTTTGAGCACTCAGTAATAGATTTTCATGAATAAATACTTTTCAAAGCTAATTTTAATGTCTCTAGAGAGTAACACTTTTTGTTTTTCTTTATTTCGATCGATTTCTTGCCTTTCTTGCCTTTCTTGCCTTTTTTAGTTTTCTTCATCTTGGTTACGTTAGATCGACGTGCTTACCTACTAATTGTTTACGCGTTAACTGTCGTGCGTTCTGTAAGTATAGGGTTATGTTTACGTACGCTCACCACGGAAATACGTACACAATCATTTAATGAGCGCGTTGTACCGAATACCGTGGAAAATAATTATTTACTCAAAATATACACAAATATTTCTGTTTGAATTGCATCTACATTAAAGTCATTTTAGATTATTAAAATTGAAAATTATTTTATATGAAACATTTCTTATTTTGAGCAAGTAATCATCAGTTTTTCAAAATCTCCGGTAATAGGGCAGAGCACGGAGATACGTACACTTACCCCTAGTCATGAGTCGGGTAACGGGAGCCGGGTAAGAGATCAAATTTGAAAAGTGCGAGTTCTGCTTGTCACAACTTACCTACCTGGGTTTTATATTAGATAAGGATGGGTTGCGCCCCGATCCCGAGAAGATTGCGCCAATATTGAAATATCCCGCCCCTAGGGATGTTAAGCAATTACGCTGATTTTTAGGAATGGTCGGGTGGTATAGCCGATTTATCCAGCGAGATTCGGAAATAAAAATTCCTCTTGTTAAATTACTGCGTAAAAAGCAAGCGTGGACGTGGGGAGGGCAGCAGCAGGAAGCGTTTGATAAATTAAAGGGGGCTTTGACGGATGCGCCAGTATTAGCGCGGCCAGACTTTGCTAAGCCGTTCACCGTGCAGACTGACGCGACTAATTATGCAATCGGCGCGGTGCTATCCCAAGAGCATGAGGATGTCGAGCATCCCATTGTGTATGTGAGCCGTGTGTTAACACCTGCGGAGAATAATTACAGCGTCACGGAGAAGGACTGTCTCGCGGTAATTTGGGCACTTAAAAAACTGCGACCGTAAGTGTAGGGGTATCGGTTCACTGTGATTACCGATCACAGCGCCATGAAGTGGATCAAAGACTTGCGCGAACCAGCGGGGCGATTAGCGAGGTGGGCGTTAGAGATGTCCCAATGGGACTTTGAGATCGTGCATCGTAAGGGTGCTCTGAACCACGTGCCGGACGCGCTATCTCGATTGTCGAGGGAAGAGGAGGAAATAGCTGCGTTTGACGAGATTAGTGACGAGTGGTACGTTAAAATGACGAAAGAGGTGGTCGAATATCCGCTCAACTATAGCGTAGAGCACGGGAGACTATATCGTCACTGGGTGGATTTGCTGTTAGATCTGATCACGCATCGAGAGGAAAAGTGGCGATTGGTAGTGCCGGAAAAATATAAGGAGCGCGTCATGACCGATGCACACTGTTCGCCATTGAGCAGACACATGGGGATCGAGAAGACTTACGATCGCGTAGCTCGTGAGTATTACTGGCGGTTTGAAAGTTTCACCAAGTACTTTTTCAGCCTCATTTTTCCCAAACTTTAACAGTCTGTACTTTTCTTTAACCACCTCTCGCACCTTCACTAACTGGCGTAGAACGTCTTTCTCTTGTTGATACATGATGATGATCTAATGTGTTGCAACAGACTGTAACGATTGCGCTAGGTATGTCCTAAATGTACGGCAAAATTATCAAAGCCTTTTCCGTAGCGACCATTATTCATTTGCCTATCCTTGTTTATAACGACAAATCCATGTTTATCATCATTCCAGCAATTAGAGCATAAATTCTTAAATTGAATGTACGGCATGTCTGAGTTTACATGATCATCATACGCATGCTTTAAATTAACTTCATACGCATGCTTTAAATTAACTTTATCTTGACGAAATAAAAGTAGAAAATTAACATTATCCCTTACAAGATGCTTAGGTACTTGAGCATATAACTGGCAAAGATAGAAACAGTCCACATTTTTGTATATATCCATGCAGAAAAAAACCTTTCTTATTTCTAAAGGCTTATTTCACCTCGTATGCGCTTTCTATAAATAAAACTTGATCTATGTCTGTCAGCAATCCAAGCTTTACCTTAAATTTAAATAAAACATTTTTATTTCAGTACATTATTTAACTTTTGTTGGAATTAACCAACAAGAATTCATTATCAACCTTTTTATATTTTAGCTAAGCGTCCCAAGTTAGGCCGGGTGTTGTATAATAATGAGCTGGGTAGTTCGTGTGTTTTGATACAGTTATTGCGAAAGTTTTCAAATACTTCAGCAAGCAGAAGTACATCAATCTTTAAATATAAGTCAGAATGCTGCCCAAGAGTATAAATATTAAGTGTCCCAATTATTTTTTGCATGCTCGTACTCTTCATCAGTTACATGGGTTTTGTATAAGCTTCTGTAAAAATTTTGTTTTGATGGAAGTTTATTTTCTTTCAATTTTTTAAAAGAAAAAGCATAATCATATGGGTGTATGCCTTTTCTTTTTGATAAGTCTATCTGCGCTATTGTAAAATGATCATCATTGAAAAATACGTTTTCTAGTATTTTGAATTCGTTTAAGTATGGTGATAATTTGTCGAGATATGAGGCCATAAATTTGAAGGAATCTATAAATCTAGTGTTAGTATTGGTACCTTCTACGAATTTCGTAAATGAAATACACTTTTTTTTGTCAGTGGTAAAAGCTAAACTCTTCCCGGAAAACATTTGACGAGTTCTTTTATAAATAAATGTAAATCATAACCGCTAAGGTGATGGAATATGACTGGTATCATTCTTGAGTCTAAATAACTGAAATTGCATTTGCTATAAGCAGAGCCTTGATACCTGAAACAATGTAGGAAAAATTGTATAAGACTGATTTTTAAAACGAATTATTACTACTAAAAATTACACTTAATTTCCAGTAAGATGACAGTGATCTCGAACTTTTGCGTCATCCAAGCTGAAAGGTTGGCTACATATGTGACATAAATATGCTTTGTCGTATTTGTTTTGTTTTTCAAGTGTCAAATCAATCATTTTAATAGGATTTTTATACAGTTCTTCCTGTTTCAGAGCGAGGAAATAAAAAGCTTGAACAAACCGTTGAGCAGGTGTTACATCGCTTTCTTCATATTGTCTGTAGCTTTTTATATTCTAATTTACTATCATCAAAACAACTTTTAATAAAATATCCAATACTATATGCTTTGTGACATTAATGGGCAAGGGTACTCTAAATGGGTTCCAAAGAACATTCAGGGTTTGCATATACCACGAAAAATACACAGGTCTTATATGTAAAATTTTTAAGTTCAAGTATATGCTCATTATTGTAAATGTATGGTAATGTAATTTTACTCTTGTTAAAACTCTTACAATAAATTTCATGAGCTTCAAACTTTTGATTTGACCACAAGAAGTGTAAGTAGTAATCATAAATCGATGGTTGAATAAAAAACAATTCCAGCCTGATGTCACCCCTTTTAAGAAAACACGAAGTGACGACACGATGGAATTGTCTTCCTATCAACCATCGGTATATTAACTGTGTGTTATTGTTGCGTTAACTGTTTACGTACTAAGTGAAATAAAAATTGTATCCGAACAGAGTGAAATTCATACTGTATATTGAAGTTGTCATTATTATCTTCATCATCATCGTCAACATCATCGTTATCATCATCATCATCGTCATCATCGTCATCATTGTCATCAGTGTCATCAACGTCATCATCGTCATCATCGTCATCACCGCCATCATTGTCGTCATCATCGTCGTCGTCATCGTCATTATCGTCATCGTCATCGTCATCGTCATCATCGTCATCATCGCCATCATCGTCATCATCGTCATCATCGTCATCATCGTCATCATCGTCATCATAGTCATACTCATCGTCATCGACATCGTCATCGTCGTCGTCGTCATCCTCGTCGTAGTCGTCCTCGTCGTCATCATCATCATCATCAACATCATAACCGTCATAACTGTCATCATCGTCATTGTCGTCGTCGTCAACGTCGTCATCATCATCGTCGTAATCATAATTTAAATCATCGTTAGTATTATCATCATCGTCATCATCGTCATCATCGTCGTTATCGTCATCATCATCATCAAAGTCGTCATCGTCGTAATCATAATCATCATCATCGTTATTATCGTCATCATCGCCATCATCGTTATCATCGTTATCCTCGTCGTCATGCTCGTCATCATCAGCATTATCATCATCATCATCATCATCATCATCATCATCATTATCATCATCATCATCATCATCATCATGAGCATAATCATCGTCATTAACGAGATGATCGTAGTCATCCTCAATATCGTCATTATTGTCATCATAGTCATCATCGTAAACATCGTCATTATCTTCATCAACGTCAACATCGTCATCCTTAACACTAATGTCATTATTATCATCATCTTCATTATCATCATCATCATTATCTTCATCATCGTCATTATTGTCATGATCGTCATCATCGTTATTATCGACGTCATTATCGTCGTCATCGTCGTCCCCCTCGTCATCACTGTCGTCCTCGTCATCGTCATCATCGTCATCATCGCCATCATCGTCATCATCATCATCATCGTCATCATCGTCATCATCGTCATCATAGTCATACTCATCGTCATCGACATCGTCATCGTCGTCGTCGTCATCCTCGTCGTAGTCGTTCTCGTCGTCATCATCATCATCATCAACATCATAACCGTCATAACTGTCATCATCGTCATTGTCGTCGTCGTCAACGTCGTCATCATCATCGTCGTAATCATAATTTAAATCATCGTTAGTATTATCATCATCGTCATCATCGTCATCATCGTCGTTATCGTCATCATCATCATCAAAGTCGTCATCGTCGTAATCATAATCATCATCATCGTTATTATCGTCATCATCGCCATCATCGTTATCATCGTTATCCTCGTCGTCATGCTCGTCATCATCAGCATTATCATCATCATCATCATCATCATCATCATCATCATTATCATCATCATCATCATCATCATCATGAGCATAATCATCGTCATTAACGAGATGATCGTAGTCATCCTCAATATCGTCATTATTGTCATCATAGTCATCATCGTAAACATCGTCATTATCTTCATCAACGTCAACATCGTCATCCTTAACACTAATGTCATTATTATCATCATCTTCATTATCATCATCATCATTATCTTCATCATCGTCATTATTGTCATGATCGTCATCATCGTTATTATCGACGTCATTATCGTCGTCATCGTCGTCCCCCTCGTCATCACTGTCGTCCTCGTCGTTGTCATCATTATCATCATGAGAGTCATCACCGTTATCATCGTCATCATTGTTATCATTGTCATTAACGTCATTATCATCATCATCATTATCATCTTAATTATCGTCATCATCGTCATGATCGTGATCATCATCATCATCGTCATAATTGTCATTATATTTATTATCGCCATTATCGTCATCATCGTCATCATCGTCATAATCGTAATGACCTTCATCATCGTCATGATCGTCATCATCATTATTTTCATCATCATCCTCATTAGCATGATCATCGTTATCATCAACACGATCATCATCATCATTATAATCGTCATTATTGTCATCATAGTCATCAACGTCATCATCGTCATCATCGTCATTATCGTCATGACCTTCATAATCGTCATCTTCGTCACCATTGTCATCGATGTCATCATCGTCATCATCGTCGATACCGTTATGATCTACATCTTTGCCATCATCATCATTATTATCATCATCATCCTCATCAGCGTGATCATCGTTATCATCAACACGATCGTCATCATCATTATTATCGTCATCACTGTCATCATAGTCATCAACGTCATCATCGTCATTATCGTCATTATTGTTATGACCTTCAGAATCGTCATCATTGTCATTAATGTCATTAGTGTCATCATCGTCATTATCGTCTATACCGTTATGATCTACATCTTTGCCATTATCGTCATTATCATCATTATAATCATAAGCGTCATCATCGTCATTATCGACACAATCGTCATCATCATTATTATCGTCATTACTGTCATCATAGTCATCAACGTCATCATCGTCATCATCGTCATTATCGTCATGACCTTCATAATACTCATCTTCGTCATTATTGTCATCAGTGTCATCATCGTCATCATTGTCGATACCGTTAAGATCTGTGTTTTCGCCATCATCGTCATCATCGTCATTATCGTTATTATCGTCATGACCTTCATGATTGTCATCATCGTCGTCGTCATCGCTATCATTATTATCATCTTTATCGTCGTCGTCGTCATCGTCATCTGCATCTTCGTCATCATCGTATTTATTGTTATTATCATAATTATTTTTATCATCATCTTTATCATTATCGTCATCTTCGTCACTGTCGTCGTCGTCGTCATTTTAATTGTCATCGTCATTATTACCGTCATAGTCACCATCGTTATCATTAATATCATCGTTATCATCGTCAACATCGTTATGACCTTCATCATTGTCAATATCGTCATCATCGTCATTACCGTTATGATCTACATCTTCGCCATCATCGTCATCATCACCATCGTCGTCATTGTCATCAACATCATCCTTATTATCATCGTCGTTATCGTCATTGTTGTCGTCGTCGTCGTCGTCATCGTCATCGACATTATCGTCATTATCGTCATCATCTTTATTATCTTTATTATTCTCATCATTGTCATCATCGTCATCATTGTTATTATTATTATCATCATTATTATCATCATTATTATTATCGTAATCATCGTCATTAATGTCATTATTGTCATCATTGTCATCATTGTCATCATCGTCATTGCCGTCATGACCTTTATCATTGTCATCATCGTCTTCATCGTCATCGTCGTTAACGACATTAACATCATTATTATCGTTATCAACGTTACTATCGTCATGACCTTCAACATCCTAATTATTGTCGTAGTTGTTGTAGCCGTCATCGTCATCAACATTATGTCATCATCATTATCATTGTCATCATCATTATTATTATTTTCTTTGTCATCATCATCGACATCCTCCTTATTACCGTCAATATCGTCATGACCTTCATCGTTGTCATCACCCTCACCGTTGTCGTCATTATTATCATCGAGATCATTGTCATTATTGACATTGTCGTCATCATCGTCATTATTGTAAATATAGTCATCATCATTGACAATGTTATCATCATCATCATCATAATTATCATCGTCGTCATCATTGTAATCATCGTTATTATCGTCATTATTGCCAAATTTGTCTTCATTATCATCATCGTCATAATAGTCATTATTGTTATCATCGTAAATATTGTCTTTGTCATCATTATCATTATCATTATCATCATCATCATCATTATCATCATCGTTATTATCGTCATCATTGCTATCATCATTATAATCATCATTATTATTATTATTATTGTTATAATCGTCATCATCGTCATCATCAGCATAACGGTAATCATCGTCATCAACGTCATTATCGTCATGGCCTTCGTCATAGTCATTTTTTTTTTATCGTCGTCGTCGTTATCGTCATCAACATCTTCATCATCGTCATCATCGTCATTATCGTCATGATATTTATTATTGTCATTAACGTCGTCATCGTCATTATCGTCATTATCGTCATCATCATCATTATCATTATAATCATTGTCATTATTGTCATTATTGTCATTATCGTCATCATCGTCATCATTAATTTAATTGTCGTCATCATCGTTCTTAGCGTAATTATTGTCATTATCATTATCATTATTATCATCATCATCATCATCACAATTATCATTATCATAATCAATGTAATTATCGTTATCATTGTTATTAACGTCATCATCGTCTTTATCGTCATTATCGTCATAATAGTCATCATCGATATTATCGTCAATTTTTTCGTCGTCGTCATCATCATTATCTTTATCATTATCATCATCATCATTGTCATTATCGTCATTGTCGTCGTCGTCGTTGTCGTAATCGTAATTGTTATTGTCATTATTATCGTTATTATCGTTATTATCGTCGATATCGTCGTAACTATCATCATAGTCATCATCGTAGTCATCGTTATCGTCGTCATCGTCATGTTTATCAACATCATCATTGTCATTATCGTCATAATTGTCTTAATTGTTGTCGTTGTCATTATGATTATCAGTATTATTATCGGCATTATCGTAATCAGCGTCATCATCGTTATCATTGTCATCATCGTTATCATCGTCATCATTGTTATTATCGTCATGACCTTCATTATCGTCAGCATTGTTGTCATCGTCGTAGTCGTCATTGTCATCTTTATCATCATCATCATTATCGTCATTATCGTCATGACCCTTATCGTCGTCATCATTGTCGTTTGCGTCGTCGTCGTCATCATCATCTTTATTATTATCATCATTATCATTTTCGTCATTATTGTTATCGTCATTATCATTATCATCATCATCATCATTATCAACATCATCGTCATCATCAACATATTATTATTGTTATAATCGTCATCATCGTCATTATCGTCATTATCGTCATAACCTTAATTCTTGTCATCATCATCATCCCCGTCGTCATCGTAAATAACGTCATCGTTGACACCAACATCGTCATTATCGTCGACATTCTGATCATTGTCATGATCGTCATGAACTTCATCATTGTCATTATCGTCGTCGTCGTCATCATCATTATCAACATCATTATTGTCAATATTGTCATCATCATTATCATCGTCATTATCGTCATCATTTATGTCATCGTCGTCATGATCGTAATTATCGTAATTATTATCATCATTATTATCATTGTTATTATTACCATCATCAAAATAATCATTATCGTCATCATTGTAATCATTGTTATCATCGTCCTTATCGTCATTATTGTCTCTATAGTCATTATCGTCATGATAGTCATCATCGTTATCACCGTCGATACCGTCATCGACGTCATCATCATTATCATTATTATTATTATCATTATTATCGTTATTATCGTTATTGTCGTCGTCGTCGTTATCGTCATTGTCATCGTCATTATCATCATTATCGTCATTATCGTTATCATTGTCATACTTGTCATGACCTTTATTATCGTCATCATCGTCGTCATCGTCGTTGTCGTCGTCGTCATCAACATTATAATAGTCATCAATGTCGTCGTTATCGTTGTCGTCGTCATTGTCATTAACATTATTATCATCATCATCATCGTCGCTGTTGTCATTGTCGTCGTCGCCGTCATCATTATCGTCATCGTCATTAATGCTATTATTATTATTATCATTATTTTCATCATCATTATTATCGTAATAATCGTCTTTAATGTCATTATTGTTATCATTTTCATCATCGTCATTATCATTATTATTGTTATAATCGTCATCATTGTCATCATCGTCGTCATCGTTGTCGTCGTCATCATCATCTTCATTATTATCATCATCATCATCATTTTCGTCATTATTGTTATCGTCATTTTCATTATCATTATCATCATCATCATCATCAACATCATCGTCATCATCATTATCATTATTATTGTTATAATCGTCATTATCGTCATCATCGTCATAATCGTCATAACCTTTATTATTGTCATCATCGTCGTCATCGTCGTCGTTGTCAACGTCATCTTTATCATTATCATCATCATCATTATCATCATTATTGTTATCGTCATTATTATTATTATCATCATCATCATGATCATCATCAACGTCGTCAACATCATTATTACTATTTTTATAATCGTCATCATTGTCATCATCGTCATTATCGTCATCAATGTTATGTTCATCATCATTATCATTATCGTTATTGTCATAATTATTGTCATCATCATTATCATTGTCATCATTATTATCATTATCATCATCATCATCCTCGTCGTCATCGTAAATAACGACGTCGTTGACACCATCATCGTCATCATCGTCGACTTTATGATCATCGTCATGATCGTTATAAACTTTATCATTGTCATTATCGTCGTCGTCGTCATCATCATTGTGAACGTCATCATTGTCAATTTTGTCATCATCAGTATCTTCGCCATTATCGTCATCATCACCGTCGTCGTCATTGTCATTAACATCATACTCTTTATCATCGTCGTTATCGTCATTGTTGTCGTCGTCGTCGTCGTCGTCGTCTTCAAAATTATCATCAATATCGTCATCATCTTTATTATCTTTATATTTCTCATCATTGTCATTATCGTCATCATTGTTATTATTATTATCATTATCATTTTCATCATCATTATTATCGTTATAATCGTCATTAATGTCATTATTGTCATCATTGTCATCATCGTCATCATCGTCATTGACGTTAACGTCATTAACATTATAATCAACGTCATCAACGTTACTATCGTTATGACCTTCAACATCCTGATTATCGTCGTCATCGTTTTCGCCGTCATCGTCATCAACATTATGTCATCATTATTATCATTGTCATTATCATCATTAATATTTTCTTTGTCATCATCATTGACATCCTTATTATTATCGTCAATATCGTCATGACCTTCATCGTTGTCATCACCCTCGTTGTTGTCATCATTATTATCATCGTAATCATTGTCATTATTGTTATATTAGTCTTTATCGTCATCATCGTCATGATAGTCATTAATGTTATTATCGTCAATATTATCTTCGTCATCAACATCATTATCATTATCATCATCATCATCATCATCAATATTATCATCATCAACATCGTCATCATTTATGTCATCGTCGTCATAATCGTCATTATCAATATTATCATCATTATCATTATCATCATTATCATCATCATTATCATCGTTGTCGTAGTCATTGTCATCTTCATTATCGTCATCATTGTGATTATCGTCATCATCATTGTCATTATTATTATCATCACCATCATTGTTATCATCGTCATTGTCATCGTCGTCGTCGTCGTCGTAGTCATTGTCATCTTCATCATCATCATTTTCGTCATTATCGTTATCATTGTCATCATCGTTATGACCTTCATTATTGTCGTCATCGTCGTCATCGTCATCGTCGCTGTCGTTGACATCATTAACATTATCATTATCATCATCATCAACGTCATTGTCATTGTCGTTGTCGTTATCATTGTTATTATCGTCTTTGTCATTATCATAATCGACATCATCGTCATTGTCGTTATCGTTATTGTTGTCGTCGTCGTCGTCGTCATCGTCATCGACCTTATTGTCATTATTGTCATCATCTTTATTATCTTTATCATTCTTATCATTGTCATCATCGTCATCATTGTTATCATCATTATCATTAATAATGTCATTATCATTATTATCGTTATAATCGTCATTAATGTCATGATTGTCATCATTGTCATTATCGTCATCATTGTCATTGACGTCATTACCTCCATCATTGTCATCATCGTCGTCATCGTCGTTGTCGTCAAATTCATTATCATCATTGTCCGTGTCATCAACGTTACTATCGTCATGACCATCAACATCCTAATTATCGTCGTCATCGTTGTCGTCGTCATTGTCATCAACAATACGTCATCATCATCATCATTGTCATCATCATTATTATTATTTTCTTCGTCATCATCGTGGACATCTTTCTTATCATCGTCAATATCGTTATGACCTTCATCGTTGTCATCACCCTCGTCGTTGACATCATTATTATCATCGTGATCATTGTCATTATTGACATTGTCGTCATTATTGTCATTATTGTAATTATTGTCATCATCATTATCAATGTTATCATCATCAGTATCATAAATATCATCATCGTCATCATTGTATTTATCGTTATCATCGTCATTATTGTTATTTTCGTCTTCATCGTCATTGTCGTCATGATAGTCATTATTGTTATTATCTTCAATATTGTCGTCGTCATCATCATCATTATCATCATCATTATCATCATCATCATCGTTGTCGTTGTCATCGTTATCTCCATTATCCTCATGAACGTAATTATTGTCATCATCATTTTCCTAATTATTATCATCATTATCATCGTCATTATCGTTATTGTCGTCGTCGTCGTTGTCGTTATCGTCATGGTCATTATCATCATTATCGTTATCATCATCATCATTGTCATTATCGTCATGATTGTTAACATCATTATTATTATAATTATCATTATCATCATTATTAAGATGATTATTGTTATAATCGTCATCATTGTCATCATTGTCATCATCGTCATCATAGTCATTATCGTCATAATCGTCTTTATTGTCGTCGTTGTCATTATAATTATCATTATTATTATCGGCATTAACGTAATTATCGTCATCATCGTTATCATTGTCATCATCGTCATCATCATTATCAATGTTATCATCATCAGTATCATGAATATCATCATCGTTATCATTGTATTCATCAATATCATCGACATTATTGTTATTTTCGTCTTTATCGTCATTATCGTCATGTCAGTCATTATTGTTATCATCGTAAATATTGTCTTCGTCATCATCATCGTTGTCATTCTCATTGTCATCGTTGCCGTCGCCGTTATCGTCAACGTCATCATTGTCATCATCGTCATCATTGTCATCAGTGTCATCAACGTCACCATTGTCAATACCGTTCTAATCTACATCTTCGTCATCAACGTCATTATCGTCATCATCGTCATTATCGTCATGACCTTCATGATTGTCATCATCGTTGTCGTCATCATCATCATTATCATTATCATCCTTGTCATTATGTTTATTATTGTTATCATCGTCATCATCGTCATCATTAATGTAATCGTCGTCATCATCGTCCTTAGTGTAATTATAGTCATTATCATTATCATTGTTATAATCATTATTATCATAATTATTATCATCGTAATCAATGTAATCATCGTTATCATTGTTTTCATCGTCATCATCGTCTTCATCGTCATTATCGTCATAATAGTCATCATCGTTATTATCGTTAATTTTGTCGTCGTCATCATCATCATTATCATTATAATTATCATCATCATCATCGTCGTCGTTGTCATCGTCATCTTCATTATCCTCATCAACGTAATTATTGTCATCATCATTTCCCTTATTACTATCATCATTATCATCGTCATAATCGTCATTGTCGTTGTCGTCATCTTTATCATCATCATCATTGTCATTATCGTCATTATTGTGAACATTATTATTATTATCATCATCATCATCATCGTCACAATTGTCATTATTTATGTCATTGTCGTCATAATCGTAATTATCGTAATTATTATCATCATTATTATCATTGTTATAATTATTATCATCAAAATTATTATTATTGTTATCATTGTAATTATTGTTATCATTGTTCTTATCGTCATCATCGTCTCCATAGTCATTATCGTCATGATAGTCATTATCGTTATCACCGTCGATATCGATGTCGTCGTCGTCATCATTATCATTATTATTATCATCATCATTATGATCATCATCATCCTCGTCGAAATCGTAAATAACGTCGTCGTTGACACCATCATCGTCATTATCGTAGACATTTTGATCATCGTCATGATCGTCATAAACTTCATCATTGTCATTATCGTCGTCGTCGTCATCATTATTATAAACGTTATCATTGTCAATATTGTCATTATCATCATCATCGTCGTCATCGTCATCGTCGTCAACGTCATCAACATTATTAATATTGTCATTAACGTTATTATCGCTATGACCTTTTAAATCGTTATCATCGTCGTCATCGTTGACGCCGTCGTCGTCATCAACATTTTGTCATTATCATTATCATTGTCATTATCATCATTATTATTTTTTTCGTCATCATCATCGACATCCTCCTTATTATCGTCAATATCGCCAAAACCTTCATTGTTGTCATCACCCTCGTCGTTGTCATCATTATTATCATCGTGATCATTGTCATTATTAACATTGTCGTCATCATCGTCATTATTGTAATTATCGTGATTATCATTATCAATGTTATCATCATCATCACAGTTATCATTAAAGTCATCATTGTAATCATCGTTATCATCGTCATTATTGTCATATTCGTCTTTATCGTCATCATTGTCATGATAGTCATAATTGTTATTATTATCATCATCGTCATCATCGTCATCATTG